GCATTCAAGATTATCCCTATTGCGTCTCGAGTTACTAAACTTTTTTACAAGTTACTAATTCACAGTAAATCTATAAACATGTGTAGTATATATAGGTTAGTCTGTATTGAAAAAAAAGACAATATATATAGTTTGTGTAACTCATGAATCGGAAAGCCACATCTTTTTAGAATCAAGTAGTGAATACATTACAAAACGTTATAAGAAAATGTTTGTCCAAAATAAAGTCTATTCTCTAAAAGAGTTTGAGACATAAAAGATGGGGATAAGGGTCACTTTGGTCCTCGAAGTTGCAAAAAAGGGGTCAAATAAGTCCTTATATAGAAAATTATATCTGGACGTTCCATTTGAGGTGGCTCCCGGTGGAATTTTTTGATGAAATTTTTTGAGCATGTTATTCATTAAGTCTAGTTTACTCATACCAAATTTCAAATAAAAATTCAATCGGGAAGACATTCAAATAAATTCTTGAAGATAACTGTGTCGTTAAAAGCGCAGTTATCTTCAAGAATTCATTTGAATGTCTCCCCGATTGAATTGTTAGCTGAAATTTGGTATGAGTAAACTAGACTTAATGAATAAGATGCTCAAAAAATTTCATCAAAAAATTCTATAGGGAGCCACCTCAAATGGCACGTCCGGACAGAATCTTCTATATAAGGACTTATTTGACCCCTTTTTTGCAACTTTGAGGATCAAACTGACCTTTTACTTCATAAAAGATGTTGGGAAATTGCTTAATGGATATGTAAGACTAAAATTTTACATTGAACACTTTCAACTTTTATTGTAACAACGAAAATTTTACTACTACATCTGGTACTTGAGGGATAATAATTGCATTGTCCATTGGACAAGACAATAAATTCACATTCATTTTATCATTTATGAGTCTAGAATCCGGTTTTGCGCTAGATCGAGTACAATTCTTGGTTGGTGTAATTTGCAACATACATGTAACCTCATGTGCGCACGGGTACAAGATCTATCACCATTGGGCTGACTAAGGCATCGTGACTTACAACCTTCTAAATGTCTTGTCGGGTCGGGGTGTGGAGGGTGGTTTAAAAATGCCTGCCTTAGCACGAGTTTGCATGGGATGCACATTAAGGACCGGAGGGTGTGCAGCGGAATCAGGAATGGTGAGGGAGGTTTCGGCCTGGTCAGTGGGAGAGGGTTCGGTGTTAACAGTAGCAGGGATGCTATGAGCGGATGGTGGGCTATGAGCCGGGGCAGAACCCGAGCTCGAGGAACTGGCAGAACCGGATGAGTGCCCAACCGCGGGAGACAGACTGTTTTGGAAAGGAGAGGGGCTGTTTTGGAAGGGAGTAGGACTAAGAGAATAAGGTGGAGTGCTACTGGAGGAAGATGAAGCAGTGATATGTGCAGGTGGTAAAGGAGTGGTATGGGCAGGTGGTAAAGCAGTGATATGCATGGGAAACGGAACTGAAGGATGACTTACAGGAGGAATGGTTTTTGGTAGGTTTTGGAAAGGGTAGGTATTCTCATGAAACCTAACATGACGGCTAATATAGACGCGACCAGTGATAGGATCATAACAACGATAGCCCTTGTAACCGGATGCATAGCCAAGAAAAACACATTGAACCGATCTAGGAGATAATTTATTTGCAAACGAAGCAGAAAAATTCGGGTAACAAGCAGTACCAAACACACGCATGAATGAATAATCCGGGACACGATGAAATAATTTTTGATATGGAGAGATACCATTTAGTGTAGGAGAGGGTAGTCTATTAATAATATATGCAGCAGTGAGAAGTGCATCAACCCAAAATTGACTCGGTACAGAGGCTTCAAGAAGCATAGTTCGAGTCAATTCTAGAAGATGACGATGTTTACGTTCAGCGACCCCATTTTGTTGGGGTGTGTCAGGACATGATTTTTGAAAATATATACCATTATCCATAAAAAATTGGTGCATATTATTATTAACAAATTCACCCCCTCCATCACTTTGAAAAATTTTTATTTTCTGATTAAAAAGATTTTCAACCAAAATTTTAAAATTTTTAAAGTGCATAAAAACCTCACTCTTGTAGCACATCGGATAAATCCAAGTAAAGCGTGAATAGTCATCAATAAAACACACATAATACTTGAAACCCAAATTAGAATAAACTGGAGATTGCCATACATCAGAATGAATTATTTGTAAAGGAAAAGAACAATTATGACTAGCATTCATAAAGGGCAAACGTTGGGACTTTCCTAATCGACAAGCAACACACTCATGAGTGAAAGGAGTATGATTACATAAAAACTGACGACGTTTAAGAAACTGTAAAATAGTATCACTACAGTGACCTAGTCTACGGTGCCACACAGGGCCAGAAGCTAAAACATAGGCTAAAACTAAAGGTGAGGATGCTGGCAGATGAAGAGGATAAAGTGGTCAATTACTGGTAGCTCGTAGAAGCACCGCCCCCATGACTCGGTCCTTAATCAAAAAGGAGTTTTTATCAAAAATGACAGAACAATTGTTATCAGCACATAATCGTTTAATAGAAATTAAATTGTATTTTAACTAAGGCACATGATAAACAGATTTTAATGTGAGAGGACGACCAGACGAAGGTAAGGGAACATCACCAATATGACAAATGGGTAAATGGGCACCATTAGCAACACTGACAGAATTAAAGCCATTTTAAGTAGATTTATTAAGTAAAATACCTTCCGTTGGAGTCATATGAGCACATGCTCCCGAATCCAGATACCATAAAGCGGAGTTAGATTCCCCGGGAGTAGCCAACAGAGCTGGTGCAGACGGCTGAGTGAAACGAGAGGGACAGGTAATGGCGGAATGTCCTGTAGAAAAACAAATTTGACACACAACAGGATGTGGAACAGACCCAAGAACACCCCCATCTGATGACGAGCCTACAGAAACCAAGTTAGTAGCACAAACAGGTAAAGCATACATATTTAAATTTGAAACAGAAGAATTACGAATGACAGTACCCGAAGCTTGCACACCCCCTGACTGTGGAGTATAGCCAGCCGGCAGAGGAACACCACCAGCTCCTGCGGCAACCAGCTGCGGTTGACCAGGTTGGACGTACCAGACAGCCTGCGGCTGATGTTGCTGTCTGCGACCACGTCCCCGGCCGCCACGACCGCGTCCCCCGCGACCTCTGCCACCACGTCCGCGCTGCCCTTGCTGCCCCTGCTGTCCATAAGGTGCCCGAGGACCATGCGGAAGTCCTCCCTGCTGCTGACCGATCTGCTGTGGAGCAGGAGGTGCCCCGGGCTGCTGAGCGTGTGCACCAAATGCTTGATGCAAGGTAGTCTCCTGAGACCGAAGATAAAGGACTCTTTGTTCTTGTTCTAGGAGATGAATGCGCAAGGTTTCAAAAGGAAAATTTTGTGGAAATAATGAAACCGTTGTGAAAAGAGATTCATATTCCGGACCCAGACCCATAATGATGGATTTGAGCAGATCTCGTGGAGCAACCGGACAATTGATATTATTAAGATCATCAGCCAAAACTTTAATCTCACGTAAATAACTATCCATAGACTGATCAGGTTTCTTTTTAATCTGTCCTAATAACCGCTTTAATTCCATAGACCGGGCTAAACTGGCAGACATAAAATAAGATTCTAACCGTTCCCAAATTTCAGATGAGTGCTTTAAATCCCGAACATCGATAAGAACATCTCGTGACAAAGTAGCAAATAGCCAAGAACGAATCGTTTGATCAATTCGTAACCAAGTAGAGAAGTCGGGATTGGGAAATTGTCGGTTAAGAAAGTCTGTGGAATAAGCAGAAGGTACCTGAATAGAACCATCAACCATACCGAGAAGACCTTGGGAGACCAAGAATGACTCAAATTGGGTCCGCCAAGTGGTATAATCTTCCACATCTTGAAGCTTTGTTGTAACAATGTTGGTGACATTAGTGGCCACGTGGGAGATGGTTTGAGCCAGGGCTGTTAATGTGGAATCAGTGGTGCTGACCGTATCAGTCCGAAGAGGGGGGACGGAAGAGGATACCCCTGGGGAGTGGACAAAGGTCGTGCCACTAAATAAACCAGTCGAGAGGGGAGGCAGGCCGAGACTGACCGAGTTCACCGGATGAGAAGTTGTCCAGGGGAATACCGGAGGAAGATTCTGAAACAAAGAATAAGTCCCTGAGTGCTGGCCTGGCGACGCAATATGAGAGGAGAAGGAAACTCCGGTTTCGACGGAACTCGTGAGGGCCGGCTGCGTTCCAGTGGAGAAGGGAGCGCCGGTCATGGAAGACGACGAGATTGCAGCGGAAGAAGTTGCCGCAGAGATCGTAGCAGAAGAGGAGATGGCTGCAGAAGTCATGGTAGATGATGACATGCTGCGCGGCTACGTTCGTAGAGGAGAGAGACGAACGAAAAATTTAGGTTTTTAGAGGGCTCTTGATACCATGTGAAATAATGGAACAGGATGCTCTCTAAGGAGTCCTGGCAGATATATTTATAGTGAAGAGTTTAAATGTAAAAATACAGAAATATCCCTAGGTAATTATGTTATTAGAGGGAGGGCTTTGGAGTTGGGGAACCGTGTGACATGCCTGTTTTAATTATCAACGCTTTTTTACCAGATTATCAATGCTAACTTAATTATGTTCCTTTAAAAAATGCTAACTTATTGATGGATAATAGGATCCAATCTATGTATTATTTAGGAGAGATTGAGAATAAAAGGAGAAGAAGATGATAAATGTATGTTGAATGTACGGCTAAAATATTGATTAGGTTTACAAGACCTCCCATAGGGGTATATATAGAAAAGTAACGACTTGGGCCCCTAATATAGGCCAGATAGTCCCAAATATGTAGAAAGGCTAATCTAGTAAGTACAATTGAATGTGTAAACTTTACAATAATATGAATAACCGCTAAGCGTGTGTGGAACACTGTTCAAGCCCAATAGTCCTGTGACCGGGAATCCGAGTCTATATTGTCTATCACTTATGTTTGTAATGAAATGATTAACGTTAGAGTTTAGACAAATTCTTATTGGAAGTGGGTTGAATTTTCGTTATAGATGGCGATGCAAAAGTCCAAAAGTAATCATCAATAATTAATGGATGAAACTGCATAACTGCTGTAATCTTCTATTTAGGGAGTGTTTGCAACAGCTTCTGCTTTAAAAAAAGCACTTTTGGAGTGTGTTGAGGTATATTACCCCGGTCCGTTACTGTTCAGGAGCCCAAGGCATCGCTCCAGCTTGGAGCCCGAATGACAAGGTCCATTTCAGCCTATTAGGCATATTTCGGCCCTTTGGGCCCATTTTGGGCTTACTTGGCCCATTAGGTTAGGTTTCCCCCTTTCCCTTACCCCTATAAATATGGGGCTTTCCCACATGTTTAGGGGGCTTCTTCTTCTTCCTCCTTCTCACTAGAATAGCTAGCTAGCTTACAATACTCCATTAATGGGAGCTACAACATATGTACTTTGTAATGGTGAGGAGAGTCCTAATGAGAATGAGAGGGCTTGGACATTAGTCTAAAAAGTCCCGTGGTTTTCTCCCTTTCGGGTTTCCACGTAAAAATAGTTTGTTCATACACATTTATACATATATTTACTATATCGTGTTGGATTAAACTCAACACTGGCGCCGTCTGTGGAAACTGTCCAAAAAGATTCATGTATTCTACTGTTATGAGTTTTCTACAAAAAAAAAAAATTCATACGAAGTGGACTGATTTCAACAAAAAAGAGGAAGGAGTTGGATGAAGAATCTGGAGTTTTGGATCTGGGATCATCCAGATCTGAGAGGAAGTCGTCGGAGTCGTTCCATGCTCTATTTTGTGCACCCAGGAGCTAAAGCTTCATTAATGTAAAGCAAGTATGCTGGCAGATCCATTTTTGAGGAAATTATGGACAACCAACCACATCTTGATAGCACGTGGCATGGCAGAAGTACGTAGGTAGTAGATTATAAGTGGGCTCATGGTTGACTCTCTTTTCCCAAGACTGTTGGTGTAAATTACTCTTCAGCCGCACGGTCTACGGGTCTAGGAACTCGAAGGGAAACGCCCGGCTAGACATAACCACATACTTGAATTTTTAATAAGCTCATTAGTTGTATGGGAGACGCTCGTCCATTTGCTTGGCCGTCATTGAAGGTCCTTCCATGCTGCCGTCCACTAGGAGATGCGGCCATCGGAGCTCCACGAACTTCCTAAATCAACTGGACGGCCATCTTCTAACGGGAACAACCAAATTGTTTCACAATCGGGGATCAAAATGAATGAAACTCAACTGGCCGCTCGTCCCCCAATGGTATCAAGGAAAATTGCCCACCTTCTAAGCATGGGGCTCGCAATGGCCGGCCACACGCCATTTTGTCTCGTGTAGGAGAGAGACGAGCGGAAAATCAAGGACAACTCGCTCTGGTATGCTGCGGCCGCCCGGCTCGCACACCTCCACCTCTGGCAGGGAATGTTCAGTCCCCGGATCAGTCGCTGCCCGGCCTTGGTTGAAGGGGAAAATTGTTGAGTATTTCTGCCGGCCGGAAGGCAGTCCCACATAGCTTTGAGTCTTTGACAATCCTAGAGAGACGCTCGTCCTCCCAATCAGAACGCCGGACTGGAGGTCATGACTCATGAACAGAGGTCGCAGGCCGGACTGAAGGTCCATCTCATCAATTGCAGCTACTCTGGTTGATGGTGATGATTGAAGATTGCCATGATGCCCCGGGACCAGGCTTGGCTCGGACGCACGTATGTAAGGGTCAGTGAATCCTGGCATAGAGCGAGACCAGTTTCTCCCAGACAGAGCGTCCCCCCTCACCCCACGGCTTCAGGCTACCAGACGTGCATCCTATATAGCAAGACCACCCAACTCGCCAATTCAACAGTGCTTGGGCAGCAGCTCGTTCCCTGCACAGCTACGGAGGCAGGGGAAATAACACGTAAATGGCCGCCCGGCCGGTCTAAGACATGTGGGCCCGCCGGTCATCGGGTAGCTCAGGATGCTACTGCAGATCGCTTGCTCGGTTCACACAGCTGCCTGTTTCCTCAGGCCGCTCGTCCCCAGGAGCAGCTTCGATCCAGATCAGACGTCCAGGGAAGCTCGCCCAAGAATCGGAGTTACCTCAGTTCAGACCCATGCTCGCTCACCTGGCAACCATTGGCAGACCTTCGCCTGACCGATGACAATTCACCGCTCGGCCTACTGTTGTCGCGCGATGAATTAGGCGGACTGCGGGTTTCGTGCGGTCGTGGACGTGCGTCCCCTCCGTTGTTAGCTTGCGGCAATAATGATAAAGGCCAATAGGGATTGGTTTTGGGCAAATGGGCCGGACGTCCCCAGCTCCCAATAGATTCCTTGATGGGCCAAATTTCAACAACCTGCACAATTGGTTCATAATAGCTAAGTATATCATTTTTACCTTGTGATTTAAAGCATTATGTGCTCTCACCATTATTTAATAGGGATTAAAATGTCCCGAAATAAATAATGCTGAGCGAAGCTCGGGGATGAGCTTCCACCGGGTTTTTGATTTAATAATTAGGAGATGAGCCAGGTCGAGGGTCATCGTACCCCAATGTGGACGCTCATATCCGGAAGAACTAGGTGATGGGCCGGGCCGAAGGTCATCGCACTCCGAGGCCGACCGTCATGCCCGGAAGAGCCCCAAGCCGACCTACAAAAAAAAAAGTGTGCACATATACATATTGTCTGGCCATTTGGCCGTGTTACTATGTTCATTGTGCAGATTAAGATCATAGTCAGATAAGAGATGATGTTCAAAATGAACCTTGGGGCCAAGGGCTTGGGGACGAGCATCCTCCACCGGGAGGCCGAGGGTCTAAAGAGAACCATCAAGAGCCAAGGGCCGTGGACGAGCATCTTTCACCCCGGATGCCGAGGGCCCGAAGACGATCATCTATCGTCTAGTGGCCTAGGCCCGGGGACGAGCATCTTCCACCCGGAGGCCGAGGATCTAAAGAAGACCATCAAGAGCCAAGGGCCGTGGACGAGCATCTTTCACCCCGGAGGCCGAGGGTCCGAAGACGATCATCTATCGTCCAGTGGCCTAGGCCCGGGGACGAGCATCTTCCACCCGGAGGCCGAGGATCTAAAGAAGACCATCAAGAGCCAAGGGCCGTGGACGAGCATCTTTCACCCCGGAGGCCGAGGGTCCGAAGACGATCATCTATCGTCTAGTGGCCTAGGCCCGGGGACGAACATCCACCACCCAGAGGCCGAGGATCTAAAGAAGACCATCAAGAGCCAAGGGCCGTGGACGAACATCTTTCACCCCGGAGGCCGAGGGTCCGAAGACGATCATCTATCGTCTAGTGGCCTAGGCCCGGGGACGAACATCCACCACCCAGAGGCCGAGGATCTCAAGAACACCATCAAGAGCCAAGGGCCGTGGACGAGCATCTTTCACCCCGGAGGCCGAGGGTCCGAAGACGATCATCTATCGTCTAGTGGCCTAGGCCCGGGGACGAACATCCATCACCCGGAGGCCAAAGCCCGGGGACGAACATCCATCATCCAGAGGCCGAGGGCTTTGAGACGCGCAACACATCCTGAGACCGAGCATGCCCAGGCTAAGCATGTTGAGGTAGAAATGTCCCAAGGAGACCCAACCTAGCAACTGGAGGTCGAATGTCTCTAGGAATAGGCTGAGGATTGTTGCTGTATGACGACTCCGAGGTCTGCTACCGGGTCGTGCATCAAAAGCAAAGACACATCTAGGCCGAGTTTCTAGGGATGAACGTCCAAAGGAAGTTGGGTCGGGTTTCTAGGGACTAATCTTCCTAAGCATGTCGGGCCGAGCATCCAGAAGGAAAATTCCAGAGCCCCAACAACGAGAGATCGAGCGGGCTGACCGTCAAGGGGCCGAACGTCCAAGGAAGCCCAGCCTAGCATCTGGAGGTCGAACGTCTCTAGGAATAGGCCGAGGATTGTCGCTGTATGACGACTCCGAGGTCTGCTACCGGGTCGTGCATCAAGAGCAAGGACACATCTAGGCCGAGTTCCTAAGGGTCGAACGTCCAAAGGAAGTTGGGTCGGGCATCCGTGGGCTGAACGCCCCAATCCCTCGCACCCAGGCCAAGGCATTGAATTAAGCCTTTGCTCCGAAAGCCGGGGTCATGTGCAAAGAAGGCAGAGGAAGAGCGTAGGCAAGAGTATACTTTCTCGAGCAGATTCGCACGCTCACTACTCAAGAAACTGGGGGACTTGTGTTGAGGTATATTACCCCGGTCCGTTACTGTTCAGGAGCCCAAGGCATCGCTCCAGCTTGGAGCCCGAATGACAAGGTCCATTTCAGCCTATTAGGCATATTTCGGCCCTTTGGGCCCATTTTGGGCTTACTTGGCCCATTAGGTTAGGTTTCCCCCTTTCCCTTACCCCTATAAATATGGGGCTTTCCCACATGTTTAGGGGGCTTCTTCTTCTTCCTCCTTCTCACTAGAATAGCTAGCTAGCTTACAATACTCCATTAATGGGAGCTACAACATATGTACTTTGTAATGGTGAGGAGAGTCCTAATGAGAATGAGAGGGCTTGGACATTAGTCTAAAAAGTCCCGTGGTTTTCTCCCTTTCGGGTTTCCACGTAAAAATAGTTTGTTCATACACATTTATACATATATTTACTATATCGTGTTGGATTAAACTCAACAGAGTGATTTGGAAAAAGTGATTATTTGTAAAAGTTGATAGTGTTTGAGAAAAAAGTGATTTTGAAAAGTAAAAGTTGGTAGTGTTTGGTAAAATAAGTGCTTTTGGTGTATAAAAAGTGGAAAAGCACTTTTGACACGAAAGCCGAGAAAAATAAAAAATTGGTAGTGTTTGGTAAATAAGTGCTTTTTTAAGCCAAAAGCTGAGAAGTGCTTTTTTTAAAGTGGTTGCAAACCAGCCTTTATAGTGTTTTTTATGGATATTTCGGTTTTCATTAATTTGTTTTACTCCAATTTATTTTAAAATAAATATATAATTCGTGAACTTAATTGTTAAGATTTGAACAATACTTTTCAACCTCAATGACATACTTTCTTAAAAAAAAAAAAAACCTCAATGACATACTCACAACTGTCCGTAGTCCAAACCAAATCTAATGAAATTCTGAATTAAAAATAACTTTTCAATTGTACTAGTTCGAATAAGTTTTTTCAAAACGCAACATACTGAAGTACTAAACTCCAAATTAGATTTTATTTGTTATGCGTAGCACGCCAGTGGCATTTGTCTGATCATGTTTGAATATATAATACGGAATACAATTTTAATTTGTATTCAACTCGTTTTAGAACTCATTATTAGGGGTGGGCAAGAATTCCGGTCCCGTTGTCCCATTCCGGTCTATCCCGAAACCGTACTGGTGTTGTCCCGTTCCATTTGGGATCCGATTATTCTGTCCCGCACCGGTCCCGTACCGGTTTAAAACGGTAACTGACTGGGACACCGGAAGGTTACCCCGAACCGTCCCGTTGTCCCGTTTGTAATAACTATATAGTTTTTAGCATGTGAGTATGTGACTAGTTTGTAGTGCTATCTCAAAAAAAAAAAATAGTATGTTTTTAGTTTGTTTTGTGAAAGATAACTTGTTATGAAAATTAGTTAACTTTTAAAATGTTAATATTTTGGTGCATGATACTTTAGAAATGCTAATATACTTTAATTATAAATAATGATTTTATTTAATAATCTTTTATTAGTTTGGGACGTCCCGAACCGTTCCGAACTATCCCGGCCCCGATTTAAATGGGACAAGATTAGGACAAAGGCGTGTCCCGTCCCGTCCTGTTATTATTAAATGGGTCGGGACCGGAATAATCCTAATCCCGGACCGTTCCGATCCGTGCCCACCCCTACTCATTATAAACTTCTACAAATACAAATAGTTTGTTCACTTTGTTGTACCCTTGAAACTTATATTCATGAATGTTTTGAGTAATTAGTCAAAACAGGGACTTTTAAAAGAATAGATTTTGCGACAGGGACTGTTGATTTTAGTTTTTTTTTTGACAGAGACTGTTGATTTTAGTTGGAAATATCTTCAGTTGTTTTTTTGGACGAGTGTAATAAATTCTACGGTTTATCTTACATGCGACTCGGCGAGCATGATTTGAATTTTTGATCCAGGCAACCTGGGTGGCACGCATTTCAGCTTGCCCAACCATATTGACTCAATTTTAATTTTTAAATACACAAATTACCTTAATTTTTATCTCATAATTTTTTGTGAATATGACCTCCATATCATTATACTCCGTGTTTCTTTTCGTTTTCATTTTTTAATATCACTTTTAAATGTTTTTTATTCACTTTTACTCCTCAAATCTAATGTAAAGTCTACGTGTAGACTGCAGGGACGGATCCAGGATTTCGAGTCAAGGGGGCGAAATTTTTCGTAAGTGTAGGGGGTGAAAAAATATCGCTAGTGTAGCAGGGCGGAATTTTTACAATACACGGTGACATTTAAATTTATTACATTCTAAGTTTAGACAATACAAAAACAACTTTAAATTTATAACTACAAGTGCTCTAGAAAAAGTATTGATACATTAAAGTAAGAAATTAAATGACAAATCAAAAGAAAGTGATTTGAAAATAAAAAAGAATATATAACATTTTATCAAATTATTTGAAGGTTAAGAGTTTAAAAGATACACATCAACGAATACTTTTTAAATAACTCCTGCGTTGCTGAATAAAAAATTGGTTTTTGAATTGCAATTTTTGTCTACCAAGGAGGGTGTTCGTGGGTCACGAGGAGTTTCATTAATATCACAATATTATTTATGATATTATTATTTTTAGAATAATATTATACGTAGTATAGTTAATTCATATATATGGTGCATATTATATTTGTATTAATTCTAAAATAAGTTAAAGTTTATTGTCTATGCAACATTTTGTTTTTAGAAAGTAACAAGTAAATGAATTGTGTAATTTAATATCAATAAACATTTATATTTTAGATTGACTTCGCATGATCTAAAAAATGTTTAAATAATGTGTTATATTTAACAAAATCGAGTGCTAATTATCTAATAAAGATAATTATACATTACAAAACTAGGAACTTTTAATAGATATCTTAAGCCTTAAACAATGAGTTGTTCTATTATTTATTTATTTAAGTTATGTAAACTATTTTAGATGTTACTTAGCTTCTTTTAAATCTCCATTAAGTATTCCATTATGTAAGACTATATGGAGTATTAATTTTGAAAGAAATGAAGTTAAGGGGGGCGAAAACATATATATATCTAACAAAGTATGAATATATATTACATATATAGTAGAAAATTTTGGAAGTCCAAGAAGGGTATTCGCACCCCCCTAAATCCGTCCCTGCGTGTAGACATTGTCATACACATTATCTGATCTACATTTTATTTCTTCTATTTCTCTCATTTTTTTCATTCCCCCTACACACTACTTTCTATTACATTAAAATAATCATTTTATATTTGTCCTTCTCCAATGCCACATTAGACTATATTCCACTATATATGCCATTGGAGATGCTCGGGGACGGAGACAAGGTGCGATTGAAGGGGCCCCGGGATGAAACAAAAATAATAATATATAAAATACACATGCAATAAACATTAAATAATGTATTTATATTCATTTAAAACATTCAAAAATAAAGATTAAAAACCCCTAAAATGATTTTTCACATAAAGTTAAGTTAATTTAAGCTCTTGATTTCATCTCTAAATTAAGACAATAATAGTATATACTAACACCTTCTAAAAAAATTAGATTTCCTTAAAGACACACTCATAAATTGCATGTACGGAGTAATAACTTATTTGCTTCAATTTTGCTCATATAGTCGCACATTATTATAATTTGTAAATTATAACATCTTCATTCTTATCTAGAAATAAGTAAATAACCCTTGAAATACTAAATAGTACGGAGTATTTCTTTAGCTTTTTGAAAGAGTATTTCTTTAGTTAAGTATATACTAATTTCTGAACTAACTAATAACTATTCAAATAATAGAACAATTCCTAATTTTTTACGACTTACGGACTAAGGAGTACTAAAGAATAAAAGGTTGGGGGCATGAATAAAAGAATCAATACTACTTAGCATTGGCTGACTGGCTGTAGTTCCGTCCTTCGAGAGTTCGGGATGCCCGATTCGATCAAAAAAATGATTAAAATATTCTATCATTCATTTGATTGATCTAAATTATTACTTCTTATTTCTTTGTTAATATAATGTTATTTCCATCGTACAATGTCAATAGAGTATTTTAGGAAGATGGAGAGGTGAATATAAATTGCTATCACAAATTCACAATCTTCCCTTTACTGCACTTTTTGAAAGAAAAAAAAAACTGCTTTTATTACACAATCAAAAAGGCTAATTTTATTTTAAGTGGAAGTGATATTATATGCTAATATACAAGATATAAGTAATTTCTATGGATAGAAGTAAAATGGGAAAAATGTCAAATAAGTCCACCAACTTCTAGTGTTACTAAAATGTCAATTAAGTCCACCAACTCAAATGTAACTCAATTAAACCCACGAATCATGAAAAACGAGTCAAATTGTCTTTTTTACAGCTAACTAACCTTCCGGGGTATGAGTTCGTATACCGTGGGATCATCCCATGGTGAACACCGTGCTCCACATCCCAAAACGACATAGTTTTGCACATTTTTAAAAAAAATCGCGTGAATAGTACATGAGTAAAATAATGTAACTCATGTTATTGATTGATGTAACTCAAGTACAGTCGAAATATAACCTGTCAAATACATAGTATAATAAATAAAATATTGATTTTAATGAAGATAAGGAGTCTAATTGTCCAACTATTTTACATAAATAATGTATATGTTTTGCTTTTAATATCAAGGTTATAAAAATAATTTTTATTTGAATAGCATGGCTTATTGGGTTGTGTAGGTGTGTAGCTTGCATTATATTGCGGTGTAACATGCTTTATGGAAAATGTAAATCAAATGTAAACAGGATGTAACTTGATAAGAAAGGTTGACATGTAACTAACGATAAAAGATATATAACTGTGGGCAAATCCTAATGTAAGTTGAGTGTGAGCAAGATGTAAGTTGAGTAAGGTCTAAAATAATTTATAAGGGCAAATAAATTATAGAAAAAATTAATGTGATCATGTTTTTCATATTTTAATAAATAAAGGAGATTAATACAATTGAAAGAAGAATAGAAAAGAAATAGAAGAAAGAAAATCGGGAAGAATGGCAAATCGAATGGGAAGAGGGAAAGTGGGTGGTCAGTGGAAGCTTTTTACTCTATGATGGAAGTAGTGCGGTGAGCCGGTGAGGAAGTAAAAGATTTGAGAAGCTTTTTACTCGGTGGTGGGTGGAAGTAATAGGAATCATGATTTCAACCATTGGCCGGGGATGATCGAGGAAGTAGTGCGTCGAACGATGGCGGAGAAAAAAAATACTGTGATGGAGAAGAACAACAGCCCGCAAGTGACCAACATGTGACAGTGTCTGATTTTGTTCTTTAGTTACAATGTCACAGTGACACCATCATCACAGTAATCACTCTCGGCCAGTTACAATTACAAATTCACACTAGTGACCTAATTAATGACACAATGGTCTCATCATCGCCGCCATGACCCGTAAGTGACCAACATGTGACAGTTACAAGTACAATCACCAAGTGACCTCATTTTCAAACAAATCTAAAGTGACACCGCCGCTCACTCTTCTGACTAGGGCTGTTAACGAACCGAGCTTTTATCGAACTATTCGAGTTCGAGCTCGGTTTCGAACCTAACGAGCCCAGCTTAACGAGCTTTCGAACTCGAACCCAAACTGAGTTTTAAGTTCGAAAAATTAATCCAGCCGAGCTCGAACATAGTAGTATTCGGCTCGATTTGAACTAGAGCCTATTGAACACCTTGAAATTATAAATATAGTTTATATATATTAAAATTTTAAATATAATTATTATGATTTTATGAATTTCAATATGATTATTAACGAACCGAATACTTATCGAATCATTCGAGAACGAGCCTATTAACGAGCATCACCTAAAATTTTAAATTCGAACATATTTATCAAGCTTATCGAGCGCTTGGTTCGAACATCGAACGTCTATCGAGCCGAACACGAGCCTATTTGTAAAGCTCGCCGAGCTTCGAGCTCGAACCCGAACACTATTAATTCCTTATCGAGCCGTACTCGAGCTTTGGGTGTTCTGGCTCGGCTCGGCTCGTTAACAGCCCTACTTCTGACCCCGCGGCCACGACCAGTACAACCCAGCCCTGATTCACTCCTCCACAACCCACCACCGCCCGACCCCTACAACCCCACCCTACCCCCTTCCTCCCCAACTTTTGCACCCACCGCCATAACCCTATCCTTACGTCAATCCAACCGCTGCCCTCAAGAACTCCTTATGTCGGCCTCACCACCGCCCATGATGACTTCACTCCCCAATGGCCCACCATCGTACCCATTGATACACTTGTAATTTCCGTGTGTATGTTTATGTTTTTAGCTAGTTTTAATTGTTTAATATTTCGGAAATTACACACTTTTGGTGTAATAGTCATGTTTGTAAAATAGTTGTAATATGTTTAGATTAGGTCCATTCTGAGTTTAAACAGGTCCAAGATCAATCCAATGATCATTGGTGAAGGAAGGTGCAAGAGTACAAGACAAAAAGAAGGCAAAATCCTAATTTTTGACCTATACTCGATCGAGTATAGCATATACTCGATCGAGTATCTTGTTGAGATTTCAAATCGGATCGGATCTGAAAACAAAGGAACATGCAGGGAAGATTTTGACCACGATCGAGTGTCGATACTCGATCGAGTACACCGACATACTCGATCGGGTATGACTATAAATTATACTCTGAATTCGGTCGAGTATGGGTCGAATTCAAGTTTCTACTCATACTCGATCGAGTATATATACATACTCGATCGAGTATGCCTTTAATTTTAAACCTGAAATCGATCGAGTATACCTCGAATTTGCATTTCTACACATACTCGACCGAGTATCTTTATATACTCGATCGAGTACCCGAGCTGCACTCCCAAAAAGCCTATAAATACACCCCCTTTCCTTCACAATAGGATACCAATTCACATATACTTCTTAGCTCAGTTTAGACAAGTTCTTTCTTTATATTTTTCATCATGTTTAGTCTCCAAATGAGGAGCTAAACTCTTCCATCTTGGTTTTGCTACTTTGAAGCTTAATGAATTTGTAAGTTGTGAGTTATTCTCTTTAATCTTCTTCCTTGAATATTAATTCTTCCTTTAAATACTATTTCTATATCAATGTTGGGGAGTGTTACTAAGATGACAATTAGTTAACATCTTGACATTAGTTATAGTAATAACCATTTCTTCCTCTATGTTAATATTGGGGAGTGTTACTAAGATGACAATTAGTTAACATCTCGATATTAACTATAGTAGGATTCATCTTCTTTAATATAATATTCTTCCTTGAGTATTAATTAATTCCTATTCATATTTCATATTAATATTTTGAACATTACTTAAAGGATCAACTAGTTTTGTTTCATATATTAATTAATACTAGAATCGGTCGATTAATACGCTTGTTATTAATTCGGTCCTTTCATGGTAGTAAACTTGGATTATTAATGCATGCATCTCATGGTTAATAATCTAAGGGGAATTAATTATATTGATTAAACCTACAAACCGCTTGTGTTGAGGTTATCAATCTCAATCGTTTTCATCTTAAGTTTATTGCTACTATCAAGTTAATATATGGCGCTTGTTCTATATTGACTCGATAGTAAGTTTTATTAATGAACGCTTCTCGTTATTAATAACTACCCTCGATGAACTGGATATACTCCTCGATTGAGTATTCGAGAGGAAGATAGTTAAAGATATAACCGGGATCGACGAACATTTCATTAAGTGGATAAAAGCAAAGCCAAGTCTTCTTCTCATTAACTAAACTCATTTAAGTCATTCATCTTAGTGTTAATTAAATCAAATCAAATCTAACCCCCCCCCCTTTGTTACTAGTTAATTAAAAAGAGAAATATTCCTTTCCCTGTGGATACGAACCTTACTATGCTATACTACGTATTAGTGTCGTATTGTATTATTATTTTGAGTGCACATCACGACAAAGTGCACGTCACCCATCCTAGGATATGGTTCTCGATAGCAGATCCATAGTCATGGAGGAAGAAGACAATGTGAGCAGAATCCCTAAGTGTATAGATAAAGAAAGGTAAGCCGTACACAATGGAAAAAGCCTTTGACCGCATCCATATAAGAATATCATCACACTGGCAAAGAACGCCAGATCCGCCACAATCGCCGCAGCGAACGATATCTAAACTGATGAAGAAAGCGATGGAACTCTAGATGTATATTGTCGTAGCGAATCGAGATACATAGCGGAGGCAGTTGCGTGCAAGAAAGAAAGGAGAAGAAGCATATTTTGAGCGGCGGATGGGGCAAACTAGGAGAGTCATCGTCACCAGAGTGTTACTGTTGCCTCAGAGTCCTCATCGTCATCGGAGCAGCGTCATTGCCGCCAGATCCTCACCGTTGTCGCCGAAGTCGAAGGTTGTGCGGTAGAGATAGGTGTAGTCCTGCAAACGACATGAGGGCGGTGTTGGTTGCTTAGATTTATTATATTAAGGGAGTTTCAATCATTTGATTTATTTTTCTCTTTTTTTTCAAAATAAAAAGTGATCATGTTTTCATCCACTAAGAAGCATATACTTGTTGTAAAATCATCAAAATGACATGTGTGAATGTCCATCCTTGTCATCAGGACACTAATCCAAGTTCAATCCTTGTAATAGACAGATGGCTAGGTTTAGTGTTGCCAACAGATTATGTAGAATCATTCTTTGATGATTCATCTCCTAGTCTACTAGTATAAATAGGGTGATGAATCCTTTGTAAATGTAATTCAAGCAATTCAGATACTCAAAAATTTCAGAGATTAAGAAGAAGTTATTTAGAGGTTTTTATTAATATATCTATCTCTTTAATCTATTCTGCATCTTCTTCATTTCACAACAATACTATAATTTTTTCATTCTTCCTATTAATTTTCAACAGTTGAACCCTAATCTAATTAATTAATATAATTGATTGTCCTTTAGCTCCAATGCATAACCAAATTGATCCGTTGGTGGTGGGGAAATTCAGCTAGTGGTGGCGGCATCAGCAACGTTAGACTGGATCAGTCCGAGCTTTTCCGCTAGAGCATCACATAATAAAAACTAGCAATTTAAATAAAAGACATCATTTGTTCATTCCCTAGAATAGTAGAATGTAGATAGGGGTGGACTCGGGCCGGGCTCGGGCCCCTGAAAAGGTGAACCGGCCCGGCCGGTTCGGGCCAATTTATTTATTTTTTCTTTTTTTTTGTTTTGAATTTTTTTATGTTTTTGGGTTAGGCTGGGTATTTTGGGCCATTTGAGGTGGTTTGGGGGTGAGGGGGGAGGGTTGGGGGTTAATTAGGAAAAGCCAAAAAAACAATTAATTTGAACCGAGGCCCAGCCCGGCCCGAACCGGACCCGGGGGTTACCCGGGCCGGTTCTGGGCCTCCCCTTTCATGAACCGAGGCCCGGCCAAGCCCGGACCCGAGTCCACCCCTAAATGTAGCTAAGGATGTTTTTAATTGGACTAAAATTTTCTGATTAGAATTGTCCAAGTGGTTTAATCTAAATCTAAACTGGTCTGGTCCAGTAAATGTCCGATCTATGTGTATTTTACAACTATATAAATCTGGTCTATTAAAATATGGTTTGTTTATTTTTTATCTGGGACTGAAATAAATACAAGTAAAATCATCCTAAGAAGTATAAAAACAAAAGTAATGAGGGTTTACCTTTAACTATAAAAAAATCACTCCACTCCTAAACACACCGAGATCAAAATACACTAGGGAAGTGTTATTTGCTAGAGTTTTCAAGACTTGGATTAGTTTTAGACTACATCATACTGGATTCAAACAGATCAGACCAAACATTGACAATTGTAAACCACATATAGATCAAACACCTACCGAACCAAACCAAACAAGTCCAGATCAGACTTAGACATACTAAACCAAATCAGATCAGACTAGACCATAAAATTTCAGTCCAAGTACAACATCCCATATGATGGGAGGTGAATATTTCTCGTCCCCTTCCCTACCCTTTGGCAAGTGTTTTTCTATAGCCACTTAGCCCGTAGATGACAGATTATTAACTAATTAAGTATACCAGCAACAAAACAATATATTTTGATAAAAGCATTTTGAATCTATAGAACATAGCTAAAAAAAATAGAACATAGCTAATGCTGAAGGTACTGGCTAATTGAACATCAACCCACAAAACGCCATTCAATATAAACATAAACTGCATTTCAAAGTTTAGAAAATGACTTATGTGGTAGGGGAAATCTTTGAAAAGCAAGTCTGGAAAGTATATATCTTTGGTACATGAAAAACAATGCAGGCTGGTGAAGGCCAACCGATCACTCCACACTTAACCAGCTAGAACTGAACGCCGGATTACCATTTCTGTTTCTCGCGTTTACATAGGAGTCCACAACCCAACTGCCTTTTGTTCATCACTTCTAAACATCCCTTATCTGTCATCTTTGTTTTCTCAAGATGTGTTCCCCATATCTGCACATCATATCAAACGTTTAGCCAGAAATGGTTTACTCATCCCGGTCAAAGAACGGGGCATGTGCATAATGTATAATCTTTTAGTGTGATTTGACCATGACTATTATTCAATTACGAATTATCTTCTCTACGGTGAGAAAAGGAATATTTTTACCGTGTTCTTTGAAGCTAAACATTGTTTTCTATATTCCTTAAGGACTGATGAATTTTTCAAGATGCAGCCAGGTGTGCTTTAAATCGCTTTTGTTGGCCTGATCCGCATAATTATTATCTGGTCATTCGCACTCCATTGCCATACTTAGGACATATCCGACCAGCCCCACAGGCCACAACCAAACTCACATTATTATAAATTACATGGAAAAGAATAACTGCGAGTGATCAACATAACATGCTAGCATGCATATTGATGAGATGATGGATGTATAAGAAACACTTGAATAGCAATTCGTTCCATGCAACATTAGGCCATCTTAAGACCGGGCATATTTGTAAGGAAAAGAAAATGCTATAATTCAAATGCTATAGTAACAAAAATGACAACGTGAAAAAAGGAGGATTTCATTACAGATAATAAACTTGAAGTTCTCTAATAAATGGATAAGCAAGATGGTGAATAAATGGAATTACAGGTTAATGAATCCTCCATACTTCAGTCTTTGCCTATTCAAGAGAGAATAAGCCACAGGGTTTGCATTTATGAACAATCATAAACTATGAGAGGGAAAATTCAGCATTTTCTCATGGAACTATAGAGAAAACTAATTTAATACTCACCAAGTAACCAATGACTAATTTCACTATCATCACAAGATGCTGCTTCATCCACCAATTTGACAAAAAGTTGAAGATGCAAGCATTGAAGAATAAAGCATGTTAAAAGAGCCTATTTTGTTCTAGGGAAAAGGGTCAAATATGCCCTCGAACTTCCATAAAAAGGTCAAATAAGCCCTTATATAGGAGGCTCTGTCCGACCGTCGTCATTTGGGGCAGTTCCCGGTGGAATTTTTTGATGAAATTTTTTGATCATCTTATTCATTAAGTCTAGTTTACTCATACCAAATTTCAGCTAACAATTCAATCAGGAAGGCATTCAAATGAATTCTTGAAGATAACTGCGCTTTTAACTGCGCGGTTATCTTCAATAATTCATTTGAATGCCTTCCCGATTGAAGTTTTAGCTGAAATTTGGTATGAGTAAATTAGACTTAATGAATAAGATTCTCAAAAAATTTCATCAAAAAATTTCACTGGGAACCGCCCCAAATGACGAAGGACGAACAGAGCCTCCTATATAAGGGCTTAATTGACCTTTTTATGTAAGTTCGAGGGCCTATTTGACCTTTTTTCCTTTGTTCTAAATTGAGAAGTTTAGTCACAAAAAGGAATACGAAAAATCATATTTCATAAGCATACTCCATCCTGACATTAATCAATTACACAAAACATCCCCACATTAAATTCTCATTTTGTCATCACATCAATTCAAGTAGACCTAATAAGTAATAACCTTTTCATTGAAGAAACTGAAATGCATACTAAGCACAGTTATAAGTAGTAGCTAAAGAGCTGATAAATAGAAACTAGTCAGGCACAATACACATATCGAGCATAGAAGAGAGCCACAGGCGTAGGATGTCTGAAACCAAATTAAACAACAGAGAGACAGGCTCATGGTCCTTTGAAGGTCTCTATGGACAGTAACAATGAAAAAATGGTGATTGGAATGTTATATGATCTCGTATTTTATCATCTCTTCACATTTTTATAAATTTTAAGATATAGGCTTAAGTGATGTTCTCCTAAGCTTCTTTTCTTATGCATATTTCTTGTTGTAATTTTAATCGGATTAGAGCAGAAACAACTAGAAAGATTCAGCACGGAGTCACCAGACCAAACCTTACCAAATTTAGATTAGATCACATTCTTATGCAAAGAGGTCTACAAAAACCGTGTTCCAATTTCCAAACTTACCTCTAAAAAAAATAGACCAAGAGAGGTGATGTTTTTCATTCCATATTTTTTATTAACTTATACATTACTTATAAGGTGTCAGACACTCAGAGGACCACACTAATTTAAGAAAGACCTCAAAAATCTCATGATACATTCATTCATTGAGAGATCTGATTTCCGAAATTCACGGATGTGATTTTCCTAATTTGTTTGACTTAATTAGTTTCCAGTTTTGTCAGACATTGCCTTATTACAAAACAGTTGTAATCCTGTATAAAGGAAAGCATATTGTAATAGTCAAACAAGTTGAAATTGAAAAACAAAAGAGTATTCTTGGAACTCTTTTTCCATCCAACTCATCTTCCATAGTCAGCTACCAGCCTACCATAGGCATCCTCTTGCTAATCTCACATAGGTCCATAAATTGTAGTTTAACAAATCAACATATCACTTCCCCATAATCCTACTTCATTGAAGCGAAACAGGGAGGGGGGTGAACTAGCATTAGTCTTCTTCTAATTCTAAATAAACTTGCACAAATCAAGCACACCTAGGGCAATGAAGCAGAAGAATCATATCACCATTCCAATTGAAATCAATCACCAAATTACTTACTACTATCGTATATTACAGTGATAAACGCAATAACCTTATAATGTAGGCTAACATAAACTCTAGAGACAATCTCCTTCAAATCATTAGCACATACAGATTACATGATTCATGTATGAGCCCCAAACCAAATAAAGCATAGAAATAAAAAAGTAAAATATAGTCTTTTGAATCAGAAACATCACTCTCAAGTCTCATCGACTTACAAAATACAATTTCATGAAGATATATAATAATCAATAAAATACGAAAATATAACACGATGATCAAACTGAAGTCAAAAGTTGAAATCTTTACTACAACCAAGTTGCTATTATTCAAACCAATATGCATCATGTGTAATGTAAATTTATGCGGCAAACTACACACTCCATAATACTTTATATTCCATAAGTTCATAATATTTTACCAATATACACCTTACTTCATTGGTGATGTGAAAAGTTCCAATCTTTGAGATGGATAGACAGATATATTACCTGGAGCTTTGTCTGAGGCGTCGTGATAAATGGCTTCTTCCTCAGGCACAGGGTGAAGGCACATCATATCCTCGTCAGCAGCTTTGGTGGGACCCGCACACCCATCTTTATCATCTGGATATCTCACCACAACAACAGGACACACACAGTGTTGCACGCAGTAATCGCTGACGCTCCCAAGCCTCCCTTTAGCACTTCGCCTGGAAGCTCCGAATCCTCTGCTACCCATTATTACAGCGCTCAGCCCAAGCCTCTCCACCTCCAGGCAGAGCCTCTCCTTCATGTCATGATCCTTCACGATATGGATCTTGAACGGAATATTCGCCTCCACCAGCGGCTGCGACACGTCGTTCGCCTTTGAGGTCGTGAAATTGTCGAAATCGTCCTCGAGTTTCTGCTGCGACTCCTCGTCGCTGGCGGACGCGGCCTCCGACACGACGGACAGATCGATGGCTCCCCAATCGGCGCCGTATAGGACGGAGGTGGGTCGGACGTGTAGCAGGATCACGGCGTCGCCCGGCCGGAGGTAGTTCTGTACTGCCCACTTCACGGCGTAGGCGCTCTCGTCGCTGAGATCTACGGCGATTGCGATCTTACGCTGTGCCCCCGCGGTGGGTGTCGCGGATGGAAAGCGAGGGGAGGCGGGTTGGTGCGTGATCGCCGTCGGTGGACGTTCGGATTTCACCGCCGGCGGCTTTTTCGGCGAGGACATCATTAATAGCAATCGACGAGGATTGGGATTTTGAGCAGTACGATGATGATGTCTTGATAGGTAAGTTTGTTTGATTCAGCCCCTGTCCCTTCCTCCCAGCGTCGAATTTCCGAGTATACGATGCTGGTGCGGATAAAATCGTATGTTGCCGGGACCGGTAAATCGGGACACGGATTAACCAGGTCAAAGCGGGTTATCACTTTGAAATAATGGATTTCACCGTTGACCAAAATTATATACACAGATAAAAGGGAAATAAACATGGAAATGGTGATTTTATCAGACTTTGCACTCTTCCTAAAGGTTGCCTGGAAAGGTTGAATCCCCGATCTCAAGATCCCCACACCTCGATCAGAGATTGTAAATCACGGTGACTTAGTCAACTCAATGTTAGTGGAAATTTAATTTTTTGCTCCATTTTAATAGATGAAAGTTGTATTTGCAAAATCTTTCGATTCAGAAGTATGATTTTAGAAGCATCAATAGCTCGAAAATTTATTTTCCCTTTTTCTCAACAATATTGAGTACTTCGTAAACTACACATGAGCACCGGTCCAAGACCGGACCGGACCACAACCACTTTGGTCCGGAACTAAAGTCGTTTAAAAATTTCTTCATTTTTCATCATTTTTGAATTTTTAACCAATAATTACCATTTTGGATTATTATTGTTAGTGGCAGTCTTGAGATGTTTAAGGCCATTATTTGCCTTGAAGATTCTGTATGTTGACTATGTTCAGTGAAAAATTCCGCTAAGTTTTGGATGAACTTTTATATGTATGATCAGGGAGAACCTTTTGGCTATTATGAGGTTTGTGAAGTGATGAAGAGTACAATGACCTTAAGTGTATGTATGAAGTCTATCTCCTTTGTTTGGTGATCAGTGATTCACACGTTTCTTTGGAGGTAATCGTCTTAGAGTCTGATCATAGAGTTTTAATGAGTCCAGATGGTTCCTTTTGAACGATAGATTGTGGGGTTTGAGCTATTGACTGGTTTTTAACTCTTGCTTTGAACGGTTTTTAAAAAGTTGGGTTCGTTCAAGACCGCCACTAACAATAATAATCCAAAAATAAGGTAAAAAAGTCGAACAGAAGAGAAATAAAGCTTGAATAAAAAGTAAAGCAAGAAATTGCAGTTGACCAAATCCTAGTCATACATTCATTCCATGGCGATGGTTCAAGAGAGGGACAGACCATCAATATTTTATTTTCTTCCTTCAAGACCAAAAGATCGTAGATCTGGACAAAAATATCAAACTCGCCTTGCTTCATGATTGTACCGCTCCATGTCATGCCTTTGCCTTCTTGCCAACCAATCTAGCCTCCTACTGCAACATCAGAAAATTGAATCTCCCTCCTATATGACACGACGAACTTGCCATCTCATAAATTAACCTTAGCACTCGTCTGGAAAAAACGGCGGATGCAAGAGAAACTTCCCCGGAAAAATCATCCCTAGAAACCCCTAGGGAGTCGTCCACCTTTTTTAGAGATACTCATTTTACATACCACTCCTGCGAACGAAAGACGCTGGATGTTCGGTTGCTCTCTGCCACCCATACAAAATCCAATCATATTCAACTTCGACAAACTATAAATGTTTATAAGAAATTGTTTATAATATAAAAATAATATGTTTTGGCCGGTCTGAATCAATATTGGACTTGAATTTTAGGTATTTATTTAGAAGTGGGAGAACGAGATGAACAAGAAACATGGCCAGTTTGATGATCAAGATCAGTCTTACGATTGTTTGATCTTGGGGAAAGATGATGGTATGTTGTTGGTTCGTCACCCTCCTAAACCCCCTCCATGCAGCGAACGATTGGCTAAGGTTTGAAAGATGATGATTCAAGTTTGGATATGGTCACATTTGGTTTGCTGCTTTATATTTATTTCAAGTTTTATTGTTCTTTCATGTGACAATTTTTCTTGATTTTGAATTTGTTGTGTTAGTGCCATTCTTGAGATGTCCAACTTCACTAGGATCAAATGTATTGAGATTTTCTGAGGCCGTTATTTGATTCAAGGCTCTTGTATGTTCGGCGAAAAGTTTCACTCATTTTTTGGTGAATTTTACTGTGCGTGAACAAGGACTGAGTGGACCTTTGGTTGTTACGAGTATAGTGAAGTCGTGAAGAGCATGATGACTTTAAGGGTTAGTAAGAACTCTATGTTGTACGTTTGGTGGTCAGCGATTCGTGATGTTTTTTCTGATGTGACTGCCTTAAAGACTGATCATAGGGTGTTGCTTGAGTCAAGATGAAGTTTTTCTTGTTTGATAGGTAGTGGATTTTGAATGGTTGTAACTCATAGTTAGATTAGTGTTTTAATATAATTTTTTTTTTCTTCTTTCAAAAAAACTTTACCCTTTATGATTACTTCTTATGGTACAATATAAATAATATTTGTAGGGTAAAGAAATATGATAGTACTAAACAACATTATGGGAAAGTTTTGACAAATGATTGTTGGTTGTTAGATGTTGGCTGAATGCGTATTTGTGTTAGCTGGTTGATGAAAGTGGGTTTCGTTGGCTGTTTTGATTAGTTGATAGTATTAGTAGTTTGTAAAATAGTGTTTACAATCACCCGTTCATATACCGTAAAAAGGCACGGGCAGTACAGGAAATATACGAAACACTGATGGTAAACGCCAGGATGGATGCCTTTTCATATTTTGATTGTTTGGAACAAATAGCCAATTGAAAAAGTCATTTAATCAAACACTTTTATTAGCAGATTGATTTGGTAAAAAAGGCAAATATGATCAAATCAGTCAAGAAATGGTTGATAGATTGCTTGCTAACCAAACACCCCCATGTATAACACATTTGTCATTTATGAGCTTCAGGATGGCAAGAGGGCCATGAAGAATCAACGCACTCCTCATATGATTCCCAGTCAAGCTAACTCGTGGGCTACCCCATTTCCTCCTCACTTTTACCTTATGTCATTGCACCTCAATCAGTCGACCACAAATACTCTTATGGTCTATTTGTTTGAGGGTTAATGTAAGTTATTATGGATTGAATTTTTAGTTAATCCCGTTTTTTTGTGTTTTTACAATAAGAATCTAGATTATTATAAATTTGGATTGAGCCTCACATCTATATCTATATAATATAATAAAGCCAACCCTTGAAGAACTCTTTGGAGGAAATATTGACATGTGGCAACTTCATTTGTAGGAAAAACGACATGTGGCAACACCATAAATGAAAAGCTATCCAACTTCCAAAACTCCACTCTCATGTATTTGATTATTATATTATCATATATATACATATAGTCTCATCTATTGTCATGTGTTGTTTTAATTAAAAATACTTGATAAGTTTAATTAAAAATATTATTAAATCATTTTTATATTAAATTTGATAACTACTAAACGGTATCTAGAAATAGCAAATTATTGTACAAAAGTAAAGATACATTTAGATCTTTTGAGTCAATATTTGTGAACAATGGTTATTAATTATTAAAAAAATCAACTATAACATAAAAATATGCGGGAGTAACTTATTTGAATAATTATTATAGAAACAATTGTTCAAAAAAGGTTGTAAAATAATAAAATATTTGAATATAATTTTGATAATGTTGGGGTATTGGGTCCAGGCCCAAATACCCCCAGGCGGCCCAAATAGCACGCGGGTCCAATTTCCGCACGGGATCCGCCGGTTGGTAATATTATGATACTTGTTGTTTTCTCGGATAGTGCTGGTTGTATTTGAGAGAGATCCACAAAGCAGACGTCAATTGTACGATAAGATCTTTTGAGTAAATATTTGTGAACAATGATTATTAATTATTAAATATTTATTTTCAACTATAACATAAAAATATGCTGGAGTAACTTAGTTGAATAATTATTATAGAAATAATAGTTCAAAAAAGGTTGTTAAATAATAAGTACATTTGAAAATGATTGTGGTAGTGTTGCGGTATTGGGTCGAGCACAAATACCCCTAGGCGGTCCAACTAGCACGCGGGCCCAATTTCCGCACAAGATCTGTTGGTCGGTGATATTCTGATACTTGATGTTTTCTTGGATAGTGGTGGTTGTATGTGGGAGAGCTCCCCAAAGCAGTCGGCGGGAAGGCTAGATTTGGCGGGAAACGCATTTATTGCACTAGATGTGGAGAATTTTAATTTATGGTTGGAGGCTATCCAATGAGGCTCGACACATCAACACCTTCGCCTACTACATTGTAGTATAAATACTCGCATTTATTTCATTGTAAAGAGTTGACAAGCTTGCACACTGTAGTTTAGACTTCTATCTTGCTCTTCTGTAATAACGCAGTGTAAAACAAGGGGGTCGGGATTCGGCTCGATAGGTCTGTAATAGAACTTGACTCACTTTTCCCCTCATCCTTTCTTGCTATTGCCTTCATATTACGTTCATAATTAGTAAAAGATCCTACGAAAGCCAAAGGACTGTGTTGGTTTTTTGGACCGCGAGGAGTTAACCTCAACAGGTGGTAAAGAATGAATATTAAAGACAATGAAACTCAAATATACTAGTAGATATTTGTATTATGGATAACTCACAATATGCATGTGCCAACCCACTTAACCTACAATCCGTGCAGGTTGACCCTCGAAGCCGATGAATTATGAGTTCATCGGGATAAGACATGATAACTCCATCCCATCATGAAATGAGTTGAAATTGGCTAGCAAACACTAATTTATGAATTCACATACAATTCACAGTCCTGTGATTAAAAAAAACTTTACCCACATATTCTATCGTGCACAAAAAAAAAACTTTACCCACATATTCTATCGTGCGGTACACGGGTGTCAGGTACACATACTAGTAACATAAATTTGAAAAACCTTAGCTTCAAGGTAGGAGGTTTTGAAGGTTAAGTTCTCATATAACATATAATGGGTTAGAGTGGATTCACTCAAACAACATTTATTACATTAATCTAGATTTACTTTATGTATTTGAAAACAGTATTTCACGCATAAACCTAGGTTCTCTTAAGCAAGTCTATTTTTTATTATTAAAAATTAGATTTAATTTATGGCACTCGATTTATTTATGTCGAGAGACTCTGTATCTCCTGAGCATGATTTGATTCCAGAATGATCAACATGTGGATTATTTCTGCTGCAACTTGAGTACCCTCCAGACATGCATCAACGATTCAACTTCCACTTTAGAAGCTATACTCCGCGCTTGGATTGATCTATGTGTCGAGTGACTCGAGTACAACAATAACCCCTACAATCTCTCACATTTAAGAGTTGACATTTATGTCTAAAATCTAAAATTTATTCAAGCGAGCATAGTTATTTATGGATTTTTAATGAGAAAAACATCAAATAATGTCTTCTATTGTTATGAAATCGTCACATAAGGTCATGTACTCAATAAAGTGTCATATAAATACATCTAATTATAAAAAATAATCGGATGAGTCCTAATGACCCGTTGATAACCTCTTAAACCTGATTTTAACTTTCGTGTCAATTTTTTGGCTTGTATTTCAACCAATCTTAGGTAAATATTCAACATGTGCCGTATAATCTATTATAAAAAGATGGTTTCAAGAACACTAAAATCGGGATTAGGAGGTTGTAATAAATAGGTCGTTAGGACTTTACTTGATTGTTTTCTACTAATAGACGCATTTATATGACACTTTATTGAGTACATGACCTTATGTGACATTTCATAATAGTAGAAGGTCTTATTGAACCCTTTTCTCATTTTTAATCGATGCTCATCGGGTATATGGAAAACAAGTAATGACTATTTAATGCGTGTCTGTATTAGAGGTATCATTTCCATTTTCTAAAATATATTTTTTTGAAAATCAAATAACCATTTTATTGATAATCAGATCTTAACAAGGAACATAACAACTAAAAGCCGAAGCATTACAATCATAGAGTTCAATACTACACTAGGGTGAGACAAAGAACAAAAACGTCATATAAAAGCACTCATGTTCGCTAACCCTGCAACAATGTAGACTCGTACCGTATTGTGTCTGCTAATGTTACTCGAAATGGGTTCGGCTTGACCAGTCATTGAAAAGGAATTATTGAACTTACCGGTTTTTCCGGCCATCGGTAAGGAGTCAAGTTCAGAAATTTTTCCGGTTTGACTAGCCACCGGAAAGAAAGCAATCCATCCAATGTCATCTTCTTGGATCGGCGGTGGTTCAGGAGGTGGGCGATCGACCTCTATATCGATGAAGAAGAAATCATGATTCATGATTGATAAAGAAGCCAATATAAATCTCTTACTAGCACACAAGAACACCCGACCGATGATGGTGGGGAATATAGATCTGGCGAGCGACACTTCGCCACCGAAAATAATATCTCTAGACAACGCTTTAAATTGATTAACACAATTCTCTATTATATTTTCAAAAGTCATACAAATTTTTTGGTGAAATAGTCAACATTGCATGAAACGTTAGAAAAATATATTTTATTAAGACTAACCATTATGTGCACTTCCTATTAAAAAGAAGGAACGAATATTTATCAAGTTTCTAAAAATAATATTGAATCGTTTGAATAAATGAAAACTCGTAATACTATTGATAGCAAGCGTTAAATATTATTGGTCACGTATTTTTGTTTAATACTAAGTACTACGTAATTATTGGTGTGCTTTTAATTGATCATCAAGCAAATTAGTTCATTAGCAACTTAGTTCATTAGCATCGTCCTTATATGATATATAACATTTTCAATAGTGAGACCATTGTTCAACCGATTGACAATATAATAATCAGGTGTATGTCGTTCTAAAATAACCGATGTATTATATTCATTATTAATTTCTTATTGAAAAAAGACAAATAAAAGGTGAGAACCGAGAGCAAGTATAAAGACAAAAGTAGTTTTATACCCGACGGCCAACGACGTTATCCTTGATAGTTGATTGTCTTGGATATGGCCTTCGTTTTAGAAAAAATCAAAAAATCACTCGGATAATTAAGTTCATTATTCAGACAGCATCGGTCAAAGTTGTATTATTAGTTTAAATTTGTTTCTTCTTTTTAGAAAAAATCACTCCGATTTGTTTCTTCTTAATATTGAAAAGATGGGAACACCTTTTCAATATTAAAAAGGTATTCTCATATAACAATATTGTTTAAAGAAAAAAGTGAAAGAAGAAAGGATTGACGGTGCACGTTTATGTCCCACAATATAAGGATGTTTTCTTTTGGACTGTTTTCAGTCTCAGACCAGACCAGACCAGACTTAAACAGACCAGACCAGACCAGAGTTAAACAGACCAAACCAGACCAGACTAAACTTAAACAGACCAGACCAGACTAGACCAGACTTCCGTAGTTATAAAATACAAAGAGACCAGACGTTTACCAGACCAGACCAGACCAGTTCAGACCAACCAGACCAGACCAGACTTAAACAGACCAGACCAGACCAGACCAGACTTAAACAGACCAGACCAGACCAGACCAGCAAATTTCAGTCCAAAAGAAAACATCCTAAGTCATTCTTGAAATGTTTATTATTCATTTGTGGGAAAAAAGAAGAAACAAATTTAAACTAATAATAAAACTCGGAGAACATAACTTATGTACATATCTTTTTTTTTTCCGGTCCATCCTATTAAGAATATATCATACTAAAACTGATAAAATTTCTGTAGCTCTAATCATTCTTACTTTATTCTTACTTAATAATTTTGTCACATGTTCATATCTTAATGTTAGTAGGACAGAGGTAGTATTAGTTACTGAGTACATAACTTTATTCACCTAGCTTGTAGATCTTGTCCTGTTGTTCATATCAAGGAATTTTTGAACGGAATGTGCTATCTTGATATAAAGTTGAGATATTACCCGAAATAGGACCAAAAGAGTTTGAAAATTCTAAAATAGGACTGTCATGTTTTTATTCTCAAAATAGGACTAATTACTGTCATATTTTGACAGTATCAGACTTCAAACATGACAGTATTTTCCAAACTTAGCAGTAATTAATCCTATTTTGGGAAGAAAAACATGACAATTCTATTTTGGAATTTTCACACTTTTTTAGTCCTATTTCGGGAAAGTTCACGGGCAATGATTGTTCTGATCTTTTTCGTCAGAAAATACACTTTACGATGAAAAATTTATTACTTACAACCTGAAAAAGTTACCATTTATAATGTTGGTTTACTGAACAGGGGATATAAAATTAGCAAAGTATATGAATAACATACTGAAGAAATAATATCAAACACATGGTGTGTTCACTCAAGATGGATTGAATTTTAACTGATAGTTTTGCAGGAAAATATGTATATATTACGGACTGATAATACATCAAATTTATAGATGAAATGGAAATAACTAACTGCTCCTATTAAGACTCCACGAAGCCTGCAAATACGGATGAAAACAAGCAAATAGCAGGTGAATATGTGTATGGCATAAACCACTCATACACGTATCTTTATTCTCCTAAAAAAATGGGTTGAACAAGTCCAAGCTTTCACTCACATTCCCCCCCGTAAGCTTGACTTTGTTCAAGATTCTTCACTCCAAGTAAGTCCCGCATTTCAGCAAACCTTATCCTTGCTAAGGCCTTTGTAAGAATGTCTGCACGCTGCTCTTTGGTCGAGATGAACTCCACAACCATTTGCCCCTTCTCAACACACTCTCTTATAAAGTGAAAGCGAGTGTCAATGTGCTTGCTGCGTTTGTGAAATACCGGGTTCTTTATCAATGCAATTGCAGATTTGTTATCAATGTAGAGAGTTACTGGTTTAGGCTTCCTCCCAGTTAGTTCACTCAATAAATTTCTTAGCCACAGAGCTTGGCACGATGCTAGAGTTGCTGCCATATACTCAGCCTCACAAGAAGATAGGGCCACAGTTTGTTGCTTCTGCGATTGCCAAGTGATCAGGTTTCCATTGAGATAAAATGCCATTCCTCCGGTGCTTTTCCTGTCGTCAACATCGCTGGCCAGATCACTGTCAGTGAAACCCACTAGTTCTTCAACGCCTTGCCCTCTCTCATATTGAATTCCATAGTTAATTGTCCCCTTCACGTAGCGAAGAATACGTTTAGCCGCCACCTGATGAACTGTGGTAGGCTTCTCCATGTACCTGCTTATGATTCCAACTGCATATGAAATATCTGGCCGAGTATGAGTTAAATACCTTAGGTTCCCGATGAGGCTTCTATACTCGGTAGGATCCACATGAACTCCCCCAACATCTATTCCAAGCTGCTGCCTTGCTTCCATGGGACATTTGCTTGAGTTGCAGTCTTCCATCCCGAATTGTTGTAAAACCCTTCTTGCATAGGCAGACTGTTTCAGGGTAATGCAGCCTTTCTTCTGGTCTACCTCAATGCCAAGATAATATGAAAGTAACCCAAGGTCACTCATTTCAAATTCTTTCATCATTTGCATTTTGAATCTCTCTATACAGTCCAGGCTTGTTCCGGTTATAATCAGGTCATCCACGTACACACCAACAACTAGAATTTCTTCCTCATAAATTTTTGTGTATACAGCTTGCTCCTGAGAACACTTCACGAACCCGAGACTCTTCATACTTCTGTCAAGGCGTGTATTCCATGCCCTTGGTGCTTGACGTAAACCGTAGAGGGCTTTGGACAACTTATATACCTTATGTTCCTCGTTTTTTACACAAAACCCTTCTGGTTGAGAAACATATACTTCTTCTTGAAGGTCACCATTAAGAAACGCTGACTTGACATCCAGATGGTGAATTTTCCACTCACGATGGGCTGCAAGAGCAATCAACATCCTTATAGTGTCAAGTCTTGCCACTGGTGCGAAAACTTCTTCAAAATCAATTCCCCGACGTTGCACATATCCCTTTGCTACAAGTCTGGCTTTATGCTTGATAACATTCCCTTCACTATCCTTTTTCAGTTTAAACACCCACTTCAATCCAATAGGTTTGTGTCCAGATGGTAAATCAGTCAGTGTCCAGGTCTTATTTTTTTCAATAGCCTCCATTTCTCTTTCCATAGCATCTTGCCACTCCTTTTCAGTTACTGCCTCTCGGTAACAAGTTGGCTCCTCAATGGCAACTAACATCAACTCATTAGCATCCATATCTGCTTCAGGTGCATCTGCGTATATCTCAGCAAGAGAACGGAACCTTCTGGGACCACCATCTTCTGATTCACTGCTTGAGCTCTCTTGTTCCTGAACTGTTGTGAAGTCTGTTGGTGGATAATCTGGCTCGACTATGCCTCCCTCGTGTGGAAGAATTGTGAATTCCATAGTTTTTTTATCATTCGTTTCACCATCACTATACCAGTCCCACTTTTTATCTTCTTCGAAAATAACATCCCTACTAATGTAAAGCTTACCATCATGAGGATTGAAAAGACGGTATGCTTTACAACCTTCCTCCACGCCAAGGTATACCACGATTTTACTACGATCATCTAGCTTTTTAATGTGCACACCAGATTGCTTCATGTGAGCGATGCAACCGAACACCCTTAGGTGTTCCAAATTTGGCTTCCTTCCAGTCCACATCTCATGGGGAGTAGTATCCGTGAGTGATTTAGTCGACACACGGTTCAAGATGTACACAGCATGCCTTACTGCCTCCCCCCATAATTCTCCAGGTAGCTGCATAGTTTTCAAAAGGCTCCTAGCCATTGCCACCACAGTACGATTCCTGCGTTCCACGACACCATTTTGTTGTGGTGTATATGGTGCCGTGAGATGTCTCTCGATTCCCTCCTTTTCACAGAATGATGTAAATTCCTTTGACTGGAATTCCCCTCCTCGGTCAGTCCTTAAAATCTTCATATTGTATCCAGTTTGGTTTTCAACCAAAGCCTTATACTTCCTAAAGGCAGAAAAGGCATCATTCTTTTGTTTGAGCATGTATACCCACATCATCCTACTGTAATCATCAACAAGAAGGAGAAAATACCTATTCCCAGCTTGTGTTTGTGGGGTTATCGGGCCACACAAATCTGCATGAATCAGCTGCAATGGTTGATCCGCCCGAAAGGTTGTTTGACCTGGAAAGGGTGCCCTTCCGTGCTTAGCAATCACACAGCCTTCACATAGTTGTGTAGGGTGTGTAATGTTAGGCAAACCTCGTACCATCCCCTTTTCATTCATTTCTTTCAGTGCTTGGAAGTTCACATGCCCCAGTCGTGTATGCCAGAGCCATGACAGATCATGGGTGCTTGCAGTTAGGCATACTGGTTGTGTTGTTTCAAGCAACACCTTATAGAGACGATTTTGTGTTCTTTTCACCTTCATAAGAAGCTTTCCGAACCTATCATGTATCCACAAGAATGTTCCGTGCAGCACAATCTTATTTCCATCCTCCGATAATTGGCCAAGACTAATAATATTACTACACAAGCTTGGTATGTAATATACATCAGTCAGTAATCGGTGCTCACCATTCTTGCATTTCAGTAGTATTGATCCTTTTCCCAAGATCTGCACAGTGGAACCATCGCCAAACTTCACGTGTCCTTGAACGCTCTCATCGAGATCTTTGAACTTTGATCGTTGACCCGTCATGTGATTACTGGCCCCATTGTCAAGGTACCATACATCAGATTCGCCGTGGCTGGTTGCACCATCTCGCAGCTTTGGTACAACCTTTCCTTCATTTAGTAAAACCATATCACTCGTCCTTTTTTCCTGTTCAGATAGCAACAAGGCTGGTTCCTCATCTTGGGTCTGTGTGAAATGGACCTCATCATCTCGACTTCGACGCGGTTTACGACACTCAGAGGCATAGTGTCCGTATATATCGCAATTAAAGCACTTAATCTTGCTTTTGTCGCGGCTGCTGCCACTATTACGACTCCGTTCTCCAGTGTAAGGTCGTCCACCTCTACCACGTCCCTGACCACGATTGTTATTGCTACTCTCACCATTTCTTTTCTCGTCGTCGTTGTTACTCCCCTTCTGTCGCATCATCCATTCTGAGTATGTGAGCAATAGATTTTCCTCATTCTTTTCGCTGCTGCCCCGGGTTCTCTCCTCATAAAGCTTCAGACGACCTGTCACCTCCTCCATAGTCATGGTCTTGAGATCTCCAAACTGTTCAATCGATGAAACAATCTGCAGAAATTGTGGCGGGACGGCCCGAAGAAATTTCTTAACAACAGATGTTTCCTCAATCGTGTCACCCAATGTCCGGATGCCGTTGACAATTTTTGTCAGTTTCATGGCAAAGTCATCCACCGACTCACCTTCTTTCATAGAGAGTGCCTCGAACTCACTCCTCAAGGTCTGCACTTTTGCTTCCTTGACTCGTTCGTCGCCAATATGCATTGTTTTCAGCGCCTCCCACGCTTCCTTAGCAGAGTCCTTGTCAGCCAACATGAGAAGAATGTCTTCAGGGATTGCTTGATAGATTAGAGCAAGAGCAGTCATGTTTTTTCGTTCATCGGTGGCTCTAGTTTCAATGACATCCCACACACCTTGAGCCTTCAAGTTTACCCGCATCTTCAAGGCCCATGCTGGATAATTGCTCCGTGTGAGCATCGGGTACTGGAGTGTCATTCCGTTCTTGTTCTGACCTGGTACAGACATTTCTCTCCTGTGGCTCTGATACCAAATGTTGGTTTACTGAACAGGGGATATAAAATTAGCAAAGTATATGAATAACATACTGAAGAAATAATATCAAACACATGGTGTGTTCACTCAAGATGGATTGAATTTTAACTGATAGTTTTGCAGGAAAATATGTATATATTACGGACTGATAATACATCAAATTTATAGATGAAATGGAAATAACTAACTGCTCCTATTAAGACTCCACGAAGCCTGCAAATACGGATGAAAACAAGCAAATAGCAGGTGAATATGTGTATGGCATAAACCACTCATACACGTATCTTTATTCTCCTAAAAAAATGGGTTGAACAAGTCCAAGCTTTCACTCACATATAACGGGCATAATCAAAAGTTAAAATATCTATAAATATCCCTAAAATTGGTCAATAAAATTTGTTTCTTGGAGATTTTAAATTTCACCATTAAGTTCTAATACAAGAGCACAACTCCCAAAGTTCCTTCTTTTAACGAGCGCAGCTATATTAAAGCACCTCAGTCAAATGTAGCCCACCTAGATGGAGGAACAACTACCCGGTCTTGTTTAACCTCTGGGGCATAGAGCAAACTGAAAAGATCCTTCGCCGTCTCACTCTTTCTCGCCGGTTGCCGGTCACCGCCGCCGTTATCATTCGCCGGAGGTTCAACAACGCTTATGTTGTCCGTCGTCATGTCTACAGAAGCCCAGCGAGGTCTCGTTGTTGTTGTCGTAGAAGAAGAAGCTTGAGCCTTGTTTGGGTCAAAAATATCCTCCTCCAGGGAATACTTCCTCGCTTTTCTCGGGATTCCAATTCTACCCCCACCACCATCTTCTCTACAGTCTGATGATGGGCTTCTTTCACCCAAAATATGATGGGCAGTTTGGGGAATGACAACATTATAATCTCCTGAAACCCATTTTTTATCCTCGTACTTGGCTCGAATGAAGCTTTCTATGTCGGTTCTATCCTCTGTTTCTCCCGGCAGAAGTGCTTCCCAATAGCTGTTAGCCTTCTCGTTTCCCATGCATTGCATGAAAGCGACTTGTTCGGGGAGCCACGTATCCAGTGTGGTGGACCTCACCTTGGAGATGTGCACTCCCAGGCTCCGGTGGATGCCGGAGCATTGCATGCATATGAAGATTCCGAGGTTGATGCTGGCCCACCTCGGCGCCCTGCTCCGGCAATCGGCGCATTCTCTGTTTTCGGGGAGTTTGAGGAGCCCCTCTAAGATCTTTGTGTGTTTGGCGTTGAGTTCTTTGGAAACAGAGGCTTTTGTGGTGTTCATGTTCATTGAGAAACAAATGGGGAGAGAAATTAAAGCTAAGGGTGATTTTGGGATGTCTTGTTTATTCTCCCTTTGTTCTCTCTGGCCTCTTTGTTTCTGAACCAGAGAAGCTGTTAATGGTGGATCATATGGAATAGTGTTGGGTGGCTCTAAGAATCAAATCATCAATGACCAGTTCAAAGGAGGAAGGGATTGAGGGTTATCCTAAAATGGCGGGTGTTTTTGCAACATCCATAGAAAAAGTGTAAATTTTGCTTCAAATTCTATAGAGATTGTGGATATATAAAATTATCACAGAGATATTGCCGGAATAAAATGTTGCTTAAATCCCAAAGAGGAGTATATATAATTTGTTCTCTAAGCATGATTAAATTTTGGCTTAATACCTTAAATACCCTTAATATAATTAAGGAAAAATTGATACTAATAATCCCAACTATTGGCGGCCCGCTTATAATAATCCCAATTATCGATTATTTCAGAATAATCCCAACTTTTGTGATCTTCCGCCAATAATGGTCCCTATAAATAAATTCATGTAGTTTCTAAAGTGGATGAGGAGAGATATAACAAGTAATCCCTATAAATAATCTCAATTTTTAATTTTTACACTTAATTTCTATTTAAAATTCACTTTCTTATGAAGTAATATCTGGTCATGGACCATTATTGGCGGACGGTCCATATAGTTGGGATTATACAAAAATAATCAATAGTTGGGATTATTATCAGCGGACCGGCAATAGTTGGGATTTTTATTTTCAATTTTCCTATAATTAATTGGCACCTAGTTTCCCGGCAGCCGCACTCCAACGACATTTGAACAAGATCCAGCTCCTCTGCCTTGCTTAGGTAGGCAAGGAGGGTGCCTGGCCAATTTGAACCATTAGATCAAAAAATAAAGGTGACAACTCTGGTACCCATTTAGAAAAAGGGGTACCATACCTACCACTCACATGATTGGTCCAAATCATTATATCATTTTTAATTTAGATTTAAATAATTCAACTCCAACATTCTGATTGGTCCAAGTAGACAAAAGTATGGTACCTTTTGGGCACCATAGAATCCCAAAAATAAATGGCATAAAATGAGTAGGTCCATTTTTGGAACAAATCTCGAGAGCTGACTTTTAATCTCTGCCTTCTATTTTCGTAAGGTACTCTGCCTTATCGCAGAGGATCTTAATCCATTTCAACAACGGCAATCCAACAACAGTCTCACGGTGGCGAGGTTCAGGTGACTGACGAGGAGGGTCTGTAAACCGGTAGTCCAGCGGACAAGCTCCAACACCTTCATGGGCATTTTTGTCCAATCATAAATAAAGATTTTTTTTACTTGGACCGAAATTTTCTGATTTGGTCTTGTTTGATCTGGTCTGGTAAATGTCTGGTCTCTGTGTATTTAAAAACTATTTGAGTCTAATTTGATCTGATTTGATTTGATCTGAGACTGAAAACAGTCCAAGTAAAAACATCATCATTACTCTTGTTAAAAGACTTTTAAAATTATACTCCTATTTACACAACTTAAGCTTCAATTAACTCCTACTTAAAGAATTATCCCAATACTCTATCAAGTACATAGTACTCAGTAATACTCCCTTCCTTCCATTGGATTTTGCAACTTTGTCATTTTTTTTAAAATCAAAGCATTAGCATTCAGAAAGGGAGTAAACTGAGTAGAAGACCACAGACAACCGTCAGCCCTCGAACCAGACTTGGAGTTAATCACCTTCAAACAAGCAATATAACTCGTTGATCCATTAATGGGCAAACCCGCGCCACAGACTATTGAAGTAGATCTAATCTCACCCTAACTTAATGCAAGAGTCTTACAATTAAAAATAACAAAAACAAAGCAGAAAACAGTCTGATTAAATAAAACAACAAAAATAAAAGCAGTAAAATAAACGTTCCTCTCCATTCGCACGAACACCTTCACCGGTCCGCCCATCGTTTTTGGCGGTGGTTTCGGAGGGGGACAGACCGTCGACACTTCATCCTTCTCCTTCATCTTCAACACTGCATCTTGAAAGATCTCCTTCCGATTCACTACCATAATTTCCAATATATTCTTTTTACCCCCCATATGATAGAGTTGTCGCCTCCTACAAGATAGCCGATAAGAATCCCAACATCGGCACTCCATCTGATGAAGTCGGCAACCTAGGACGCCCAAATCTTGAGAGGTTGAACCTTGTCTCGATTGAACCTCCTCAAACACCGCCAATCCTATTCGAAAACCATCAAAATAGAGGGCGATATCAACCACACATCCCATGTCCATCCGCACAGCAACTGCATCCATCGACGCATTCAACACCGCCGGCTCGAACACAAACGCGGTTTGAATCATCGAAGTCAACGATTCAAACCACAACCTCAAAAGAAAAGGACAATCAATCATAGAGCCCTGCTGAATCAGCCCCAATGCACACTAGAAAATCAACCAAACCCGCACCATCCCTCAGCGACGGCCAAAGGCGGCGGGAGAAGAAAACCTTAAAAGAAGGGAGACAACTTTTTCATTTTCTATTAAAGTAAATAATTTGTGATTTTGCTCATTTATTTCTCCACTAGACAAATTTTCAACACACAACTTTTCTAATTTAAATTTGAGTTTTGATTTGTGTACACACCGGCATACACACCCAAATGTAATTGTTTGTGCACAAACAATTACGCTTGGGTTTAGTAAAGCGAAGCGTTGGTGACTCGAAAAAATGAATTGTCTGTGCACAAACAATTCAAGATCACAGACACTTCCCTTTACTAAACTCAAACGTAATTGTTTGTGCATGACAATTACCCTTGAGTGTGTAAGCCAGTGTGTACATGAAGCAAAATTCTTTGGGGGAATTTGACTCCAACCCATGGAGGTGGGCCCAAGCCCTTTCCTGTCCCTTGATCTCTCTGCTCTCTATCAATCCACCCTCCTTCGAAACAACCTTGACCTCAAGGTTGAAAACCAGCTCACATGTGTCCCCAGGGGCTGCCCAGTATCTTTAGGAAAAATTGAGATGTACTCCTCCACAGTCCATGTCAGCTTGCCTCTGGGCAGCCGTTCAAAGCAATTGCCCTTAAACCGTGAGTTAAAACGAGCGACCAATGCCTGTGTAAGCTAGCTCATCCCATGACATGCCCGACTTTCGTGCCCATAACCAGGTCAACCAATATAGGGATGGCCCTTCCATCGCAACTACAACGGTTGCCACCTTCTCTCTTGACGGAGTATAGTTCAATTCGAATCGTTGCTCAGCCCTATCAACCAGTTGATCGGTTCTTCTCAGAAAGGTGCTGCACAGTTCAATTCCGAAAGGTGTTGCTGCTGCGTTCAGTGAAACCACCGCCGTTGAATGCTCCTCCGCCGTTGGCGGCGCGAGAGCCTTTGTGAGCACATCCAAGGAGGAAGTGACGATGCGCGACTGTTTGTCGCTGCTATGCGTAGATACGGTGGGGACGCCAACCGCGTCCGGGCTTGTTTTCGTCATGACTGGCGGAATGAGCGCCTTGGTAAACACTGCCAGGGATGCGGCGATCTCTGCTAGACGCATGTCATGCTCCTCTAGGGTTTGATTCATCTCAGTTTGCTCGGCCACCATCTCTGTCAAGCGGTTGTTCTGAGTTCTCGTCATCCTGACGGGACGAGATCTGGTAGGCCGGACCAATTGTTGAGAGTAGAAAAATAAAAATCAACGGAATAAATCGTTGCGCAGATAATCAACGATAAAAATCGTTGCCAAAGCCAAAAGGCTAAACTCCAATTTTATTCATAGATAAGCAAGAATGAACCTTGTCAAGGGGTATAAATAGTCTTTTAAGAGAAACCCTAATCATGCCCAAATTAATTAAATCCTAATTAAGCCCATACTAACTCTACTAAATACTCTACTAATAATTGGCCCAAACTAGAAAACATAACATAAATTTTATAATAATAAATAAAACTATCATCCTAGCCCACAAGTGCCACAACCAGGCCCCGGAGGTGGCCCCAAGCCCGTTCCCGCTCCTTGATCTCTCTGTTCTCTATCATTTTTTTAGACTTGTGTGTGTGAGCGCTAGAGATTCTAACCCTAACAATATATAGAAATGGAGGGAGTTATTATTAGAAAGAAAGTAATATCAGCAGTTTGCCAGAATTAAGAAAGCAATATAAACAGTCAGTATGAGGTGCTTTCAAAAGTCAAAATGCTTTGAAGTGAATAAACAAGTTAAGAAAGTCTGCGCACCTCTTTTAGCTTTCTAGCAATGTCTTCAACAAAGTAAGCATCTGGATGCACAACAATCATCTCCGTGTAATTAAGAAGCAGGGGAGCATAGCATGAAACTTTCAGGTGCATGACAGTCAACATATATACACGTTAAAACTTAAAAGTAACATGCTGGCTTGAGAGGACCTTTAAGGGGTTTCTCGTTATGGCCGTGACTTTGAGGTGCATGACAATCAGCATATATACACGTTAAAACTTAAAAGTAACATGCTGACTTGAGAGGACCTTTAAGGGGTTTCTCGTTATGGCCGTGAGTATTGCGAGCAAGGTTGAACTTTTAGTATGGAACCCCGGATCTTAACATAATATCAGAGACAAATCGATCCGTGGTGTGGACCCCTTATGAAAAATTGACGACACGATTATTAAAAAAATGATAATGACGAACCGACGAAAAAATGAATGACGGCACGATCTAGACGAAATGTCTGGTCGTGAGGAGGGGTGTTAAATTCCCACACCAGAAATATGTGAAAGAATAAAATGCTATATTAAGACATAGGCTACTCCTCCTAACAGGTTGACCTTTTAGTATGCAACCCCGAATCTTAACAATAATAATCATCCTTTGTACACTTTGTACAATTTTGTTATCCCTCTTCAAGAAAAGCAGATGTAGTATAAATTATCCCACTGCAAGTACCGGAGACAAAGTCTCACTCTCTATATGTCAGATTGTGATTGTAGTCAAATTTACATCCTCCCATCATGCCGTCCGGTCGGTGTTGGGGGCCCCTCAGGGATGGGTGTCATCCTTTTTTTTCTAAAGAAATTGAAAAGGCATGATAATATAAGTAAATAAAAGAAGGGCTTGTATTATGTCTTTGAACAAAAAAAACAATGTATTT